GATCCTATGCAGCGCTGAGCCCCGGATCGGGGTGGTGCGCTCGGCCAAGTGTTTGGGTTTTTTGATTTTTTTATATTACTTTTTAATTATTTAAATTTTATTTTGTTGGTTTATATATTTATTATTTAGTATTTTCATCTTGTTTTGTTGATTTATATATTTAGCATTTTCATCTTATTTAGTTCGTTTATATAGTTATTTCATCTTTTATCTATTTCATTTTCATTTCAGTTCATTATTTGTTATTTAATCTTAATTTATTTGTTTTATTATTTATTTTGTTTGATTTGATTTGATTTGATTTCTCTTTATTATTGTTTTTGTTTTATTTTTATTTTCTTTTATTTATTTTTTACTCCCCTGTCAGGTGCAGGCTGTTTCTAGAAAACCAGTCTTTTTTTCAAAAGTGTGTCTTAATTAGCAAGACACACTCCATGTCTCCTCTTCAGGATGAAGGGTCTGAACAATTTTAGTGAGAGAAGTGGTTGGTAACTTGCGTTAGCCAAAATCATTTGGCTAAAATCATTCCAAGAAAAACTTAAATCTTATTTCTTGGCTATGGTTATAGCTTTGTTTCACTAGGACATGTGATGCTGTCAAAGGAATGGCAGGTTGCTTCGTCTTGCTGCTGCTTTGGGTCTTGTTTCATCTTGTCAGTGCTGTTAGAGATGCACTGAACAAGTCATGGTGAGTGCTGTAAAAGTTAAGAATGGGGCAAAGTGGAGGGAGTAGGTTTCTCCTTGGAAAGAAGGAAATACTCCTCTTTTCCTGGTTGGTTGGATTTGATAATAGTTGTTATCCTTTCACTGGCTAGGAGCCTCTGCAGACTGGTTTTAGGAGCTAAAGTTATGTAGCACATTTAGGAGTGTGCTGAAACAGTCCTTTGGGAGAGGGGGTGGGGAGTGAGTCAGAAAATTCTTGAGACATATTTAGTGGTTGGGGATCTGTTTAAACTACTTTTCCCTCAATTCATTTTCTGAGACGTTGTCTTGATTAAGGGCTGAAATCTGATGTTGGATAAGTCCAAAAACCTACCTTTTATATCAGTAATTCAATTCTCAAAATAGCCTTTCTAATAAAATTATTTAATTCTTTAACTAGTCAGTAAGAAGAATGGATAATGACTTCCTTATTAGTCTTTGGAGGGCTGATTCTCTTCCTGGAAAGTTGCTTAAGTCTTGCCAGATAACTAATTCCCTAGCTAACATAAATGTCACTGCATTGACTTAATACATTAGGAATTAGATGCATCATCAAATGACCTTACTGTATTATATATATTCTATCTCTGCATAGTAGATACTGGGAAGCTATTGAAAGCTTAGACAAAGAAGTCTGACTATAATATCTGCAACTATATCTCAAGACTTGGCATCTCAATACAAGTAAATACAAGTACTATTCTGCTGTGGAGTAAAAAAACTCTGCAGCAATGCACATGTAAACACTGCCCCAGCTGGCTAGGGCATGAGGGTTCTTCATTGTGGGGGTTGCCTGCTGGCTAGCTCTGTGCTGATGCACCCTCATGTCCCAGTCAGCCTCTCTGGAGCATGGTGAGCTGGGGGGAGCAGCCCTAGGATGACCGGCTGACCTACCCCACTCTCCACCCTGGACCTTCCAGCAGCCGGGGTTTTTCTGACCCGGCTCAATGCGCTGCTGCCTCAGACATATGTTCAAACAGCACTTCTGGGAACAATAAACTCCAATGCAATAAGTGCTGGAGTTTATTCATATGCCTTCATTGCATGTGTAGAGGTGCCCAGTTATTTCTTTAAGTTTTGATGGTGTACTCTTCAGGAGAAAGCAAGCATAACACCTCTGTTTTCTTGTGCAGGGACTGGGACTTCCCTGCTGTGATAGAAGCTGGACTCGAGGGGATCGCCTTCAGACCTCAGGTTGGGGAGGACCGGGTTAGAGAGCTTCTGGAGGGGCTGGACGCGTTCAAGTCAGCGGGTCCGGATGCTCTCCACCCCAGGGTGTTGAGGGAGCTAGCTGGGGTTATTGC